CCCCCCTCTCTCTCTCTCTCTCTCTCTCTTTTTCTCTCTCGTTGTGAGTGAATAAGGTACTGCGTCTTTGTCAGCATATTATTCTCCCTTGAGAATGCGACCTAGAGAAGAAAATGGCACACCTTCCTGCAGCTAAGAGCGAATTGGCTTTGTTCCTGCTCGATTTCCTTCCGGTTCGGAGCTTTAATGACAGTAACAGTGACAAAGTTGATTGATCCCACGGTAAGAAATCTGTCTGAATGACCCCCGGATAAGGCGGTTCCCCCGAAGGAAAGAGAAGAAAAATGCGACGACACAATCGTTCCTGTCTTCTTTTATTGCTTTTTTAAAATGTTTTGTTTTGGAGATTGGGAGTATTTGGGATTGTTGTTTTGTTTTTTGTTTTGATTTGTTGAGTCATTAACAAACGCAAGTTTGAAAAGGGACCTCTGTTGTGTACTTTTCGCATTTGTTTATTTTGCCCTCATTCCCTTTTCATTGTTTGTTATCGTGAATATCTTCTTGGGATAGGTGTATCTTTAGCACTCCTTAAAAAAAACTAGTAGTGTTTTACCGACACACCTTTAAAAAACGATAAGGTGCTTTTAATTTTTGGTTTGATAAATGTGTATTCAGATACCATAGAGCCATTGTCAGGAAAGAAGGGAAATGGGTAAGCACTATGACGGTCTTTTAGTACTTTTAGTACTTTTAGTTAAAGAGTAAAAAAGACAAGCAAATCCTGTAGAGGCTAAAACTGGACCTACCAGTGGCACCAAACCACTTTTGGATATGGAAAAAAAAAAGAAAGACAGATAGATAATCGTCAAGGGCAATGTCAATAATAATAGCATCAACATTGATAACAACAACAACAACAGTAGCATCCGCAACATCATCATCAACAACAACAACAACAAATACAACAACAACAACAACAGCAACAGCAACAACAAGAGTAACAACATGAGCTAGAGTCACTGACGGTTGGGGTCGAGGCGGTTACGAAAGAGGACAAGGTGTTTATTAAGTGCAATAGTGCAATGGAAAAAAATCACACGAGCAAACCGAAAAACGGATAGAGCAGAAGTAATGTCTGTGGGCGAACCCTGGCCCGGGCGATCACCCGTGATTGCCTCTCGCCTGCGTCAGGTTATACACAACTAATTGTTGAAGATATTGATATTTTGCCTATGGCACGGTCTGTAATCCTGCTGAAGGTTTTTGTTTTGAAATGTTCGAATAACCAACACCTTTCAAACTGAAAAAAATTTCAATCGGAAATGAGAACTTGATGTGTAAAACCTGAAAAGTTTTGGTCCCGCAAAGTCTTCCGGTCAAATTATTTTCCGGTTTTGCTGGAAGTCACGGAAGAAAATTTGTTCCATGAACCCTAGATGTCGAGGCTGTCCTAAGCTCCAGCGAGCCGAAGCGAAAGGCTCAGCGACACGTGAAAAGTTCGCCACTGGCCGTCGACCTGTGTGTGTGGGTGTGGGTGTGTGTG